GTTTCCATTAAGGCAGCGGATAAAGAAATTGTTTGATACTTTGAGAATGCTCTTACTAACTTTCTCATTAAAAGTTAGGTAAGTAATTGACTACTACTTCATGTCCGTTAAATACGAGTTTCCTGTCAGCTGATGATTGGCTTAGCACACAGACGACAGGCAACTTTGATGACCAAGAGGGCCACGTAAACTGTATCCCCACTGCTCGAGGGCGGAGTTAAAGTATGCTCTCAATTAACTACTTCTGATTACTTATAGTTCAATAAAGGGCAAATCTAAAAGTTTTAAAGGGAATTATTCTAACAGAAAAAACAACAGTGGACCAGCTTACCTCCGTTTGGTAGTGGAGTGGTCTCTGAGGTTGTTACAGGCACACTTGTCTGGGAGAGGTTAAGGTGGAAAGGTAAGAAAAAGAGGGGAAAAGACAGACGGGTTGATAGATCGTTGTTTATTAAAGATACAACATTTCTATTGTGAACCTCAGAGTAAAGCAAGTTAATTATTTTACCTTTTTGAAAGGAGCAGAGGATTTTCTGTCACGGCTTCCCCAACAGACAAGGTGCATGAAGAGTGAGAGGCTGGAAGAGGTCAAAAAGCTCCAGCAACACTTGTAGTATGAAGATCAACTTTTATTAACAAATGAGGCCGCTCTAATTTGTTAATAAAGTTGCTCTTCGATACTTTTTGGAAAGAAGGAAAGGAGAGAGGCCAGCTGTTTTTCCTGCCTCCAGTTTTATGCTAAGCTAGGATAACACATCCTTTTTGCTGCTTCAAATGAACGGACACATTTTTAAGTGGTTCTGACTTTTATGACACTCTGAACAATAAAATGAAACAAGCAGAAATCCAAAAATGTTCAAGTATTACATAAACCTGTTTAACCTAACCACTTATTTTGTGTTAAAACCGAACATTTAGAAAGGGAAGCAGTCGTTCCTGTTACAAATATTCAATGAGAAAAATGTCTGCTAGGTAAACGTACAGACGAATAAAAGCAAAACGATCACCCACTCTTAAACATAACTCACGATCAAAAACTCCTCAAGGTACCTTTGACTTAGTGGGTATTCCTCACTGTCCACAGGAAATGATTGCCAGCATATGTAAATAAGACCCAGGTAGAATAAACCAGAATGATCCTTTAAACATGAAACACATGCTGTAGATAACTTGCATACATATGCAGACACACACACATACACTCAAAAGCTCTTGGCAATGCAGCACGTGAATCCAGGCAAAAGCAGGTGCTCACTTGGTCACGTGCAAGTACTCACACACACATAACACAAACCAAACGCCCCCACGCTCACATGCATGCTCCCCTATTGTCATTCTCCTCCGCTGTGCATGCACAGCGTGCTGGTGGCACAGGTCCGGATGTTGCAACTTCAGACAGTCTTGGAGGTCTGGCCCAGGAGGTCTGGAGGTCCTCTGGGGCAGAGGAAGCCATTTCCTCCCCGAAGCGGAGCGGGGAGCAGAGAGCAGCATTGAGTAGGAGGAGGAGAGTGGTGGTGGTGGTGGTGGTGGTGGTGGTGAGGGGGAGGATGCTCTCAGTGGAGAGGAATTCTTAGAATGTTGTCCTTTAATCTGGAGTCAGCCTCACACACACTCTGTTTTTTTTTCTCCATCTGCTTTATCTGACCTCTTCTGGCTTTTCTGTTACCATGCGGAAGAGAAGAGGGGTGTGAGATAGGCAGAGAGACAGATTGAAAATGCAATGCACAGTTTAGGGCTGATTTGCTTTCCCTGTGTCTGATTGTTCCAAATGTGTCTTTATCTCTGTTTCCATTCAGCCCGTGCATAAGAGAGAGAGAGCTGGAGTGTGTAATGAAGGGATATGTTAAGCAGAACAGAGAATAAGAAGGGTGAGAAAGGGAAGACTAAGGAAGAAGGAATGCAAATGTGGTCAGAAGAAGACGAAGGGAAAGGACAGAAAAAAGCTCAACAGGACAACATTGCAGTTCAGGAATGTCTTTTTTCCTTTGAAGAACAGTCTATGTTGGTACTGTATAACCATCTCCATGAAAACAGTTATTAGGGTGTGTGACTTAGAGCATGTTCTTCTGAAGGAGTTAGGTACGAGACATGTATTAGAACAGAGCAGACTCTCACTTGATCCTGAGACAATTGAGTATGTTATGGAGAGTGTAGAGCAGTGTGTGTGATCAAGATGTGTTCATGGATATTACAGGCTCAGCAACTGTTGTACGTACACTTTACAGCATTGCCGGCACGTGTGTTTTACAGACTCCTTGGCTTAAGGACATAGAGTGAGAGAGATGCATTTTATAGAGTGAAACATGGGAGTGCAGGATGGAGAAAGGAGTTTGGACTGCTGAGTGAAATGTGGCGCAGGCACCAGACTGATTTTTAAGGAAATGAAAGTAAGCGCCCTGAAACTTCAAATCTGAGATTTGAGATATTTTAATGTGTGGAGTTAACATACATTATGCAAAATAGAAAATAACTTGGTAGTCTTCAAAAAATGATGGTTCAATTGTTGGAACTTTTTGTAAGTTATAATGGGTCAGAGGTGATGGGTGAAGGAAATCACAGCATTAACAAGTAGGTATTTAAATTCAAATACATTATCAATTTCTGACATTTTCTTTTCTTCTTTGGTCATAACCTTTTCCACAAACCAATACAGATAAGTGACCCAGGCTGTTGCACTGGAATGACACCTTAGTTTCTTCTAATGAACATGGGGGATGTTATCCTTGTGTTCCAGTTACTGAATGAAATAAATCTTTATTTACCTAAAGCTGAAAAGTCCCTAACAAGTCTAAAATTATGCCAACAGTCACCATATTGGTTTTTTAAAAAAAAAAAATGACTTAACCTATAAAAATAAGGAAAGTATCTACTTATGCGTGACGTGTTCTGAAAGAAAATGAATAGGAACATTCGGGCTCTGGATTTTGTGACACAGAGAGTAGGGAAGTGAAAAAAGTCCTGAAAGGCTGACTCATGTGTTGTTTCTGGATATCTTTTTAAATTTCATTGACAAAAAAAGAACAAGTAGAGAATGAACAGTCTTGTGCTGTGATGCAAACAAAGCACAAGAGTCGACTTTTCAGTAGATACAGAAATATAAAGTTTCATACAGTCACGCAGCTATTTCAGTTTGTGTTAAACCTTAAATCATCTTTCTTCCGCGAGTGCATGCATGTGTGATTATAAATGCCTTAATCTGTAGTTGTGGGCAGGTATTTCGAATAACTATGTATCACACTTGAGGCGGATGTACCCCGAGCTCTAGGGCTGTGGTTCTTCCTAGAAGGCTCCGTGTGCGTGTGTGTGTGTATTCACAAGCCCTGAGCTGCAAACTCTGCACTACAATGAAGTCACGGAATGTCATGAATATGAATCTACAGCTTGTGGAAGATTTTGATTGGGCCGTTTGTCACCAATGCACATTTATTAAAAAAATGATGCTTTTTGATGGTTTGGTGACTGAACACTTGCAGCATAGTTTAAACTTAATATTTAATAATAAGTCCTATGAAAATGAAAGAAATGCAGCCCTGAATTTTCTAAAAATGAAATGACATTTGGTGCCTGACTATATCAGCAGCTGTGCAACTTCCATTCATGATATTCTCTGAGGTTTCTCTGTTCTAAAAAATGGTCAATGACCTAAACAGTCAGCCTGTTCATTCTCTGTACATGTCTCATTTCTCGTCACGTTGCTCAGCTGACACATCTCAGCCAACTAGCCTCAACTTCCTTTATATTTCCACTAAAGCAGGAAGCAGGAGATGAGAAAGTATCACACATCTGCAAAGAGCAGCCCCCGGGCTCTATTAATAGTGTCATTCAGTTTAGAGGAAAAAATGTGACCGAACTTTTTATTCCTCTTATCAGTCTCTGTTGACTGCTTTTGCGTAAGAACTTCCAGTTCGGGGTAAAGTTTGGTCACTTTGTGAGTTTCCAGGGCTGAGTGAGACTGAAACGTAGCTGTGATTTGAGCTAAATGCTACTTTTAACATGCTCATATGCGCAGTGTCACAAAACTGTCATCTAGACGTTTGGCAAACAATTCATACATGATGCATTATTTCAGTTTTCTTAACATGTACTTAGCACTCATTTATTCTTTAGCCAAATATAAGACAATGGAAATGTAGACCTGTTGATGGCACTGCAAAAAAAGTTATAGTAACCGCAAAGTAAACTGAATTCATCCTCTGGGGACTGCGAGTTATTGTGAGGAGTTAGGCTGCAATTCCTTCAAAACCTGTTAAGATATTTATGAACCACACTCGGGAATGTCATGGCAGTGGTAGAACAAGAATCTGGGGACAATCAACTCGAGTGCACCCTTCTTCATTGCTCTCATATTTCAGACAGTAGAGTCACGTGAACCACATCTAAAAGCTCAGCGTATCATTTCCAAGTACTCCCACGCACAGTCCAAACCAGTTAATAAAGATACCGGTATCTAAGTTACAGCACTCTCCTTTTTGCTTACTAACATTTGCATCAGACTCTGAGGACCCGATAAGTACTCTGCAGCGCCTGTGGGGGGAACTGCAGCCAAAAGCTGTTGGAAATATCTGGAGTTTAGGAAAGCACCTGGAACCAGTCCACCGTCTTACTAAGGGTCACTGAGTTTTGTCTGGAGGCTTTCACTACTGCAGCTGTTAACAATGCTGCTGCTTTCCTGCAGGTTATGAATACACACACACTCAGAGCTCCTGATTGAGTTAACAGGGACACTTTTTGAAACCATAACTTGTGTAAAGTTGCACAAATTGGCTGCTGTTGTACCTCAGGTGGAGGCAATGTTATTGATGCATTACATGATTTTTTTTTTTTTTTTTTTTTACTCTGTGTCAGTGTCTTGATGAGCCCTCCCATTTTTGATCGGGATGTCTGTTCAGTTGTTCTTGCAGGTTAACTACATGTTCGACATTGGCCATCATTTGTCCATGTGTGTCTTTTTGTTTAAACGTATCTCTTAAAGGATTCCGTTTTGTGTGTGTTTGTTGTAGGTGGTGACATTGTGGTACAGAGCGCCCGAGGTGCTGCTCCAGTCCAGTTATGCAACACCAGTGGACCTGTGGAGCGTCGGCTGCATCTTTGCTGAGATGTTCAGGAGAAGGTGAGAACTTATCTTTTCACCTTCAATTTGCTCGGAAGTTCTGCAATGTTTAAGTATGTATTTGGGATTTTTGACTTATTGCTTACAACACCTTTTTTTTAATTCTCACTTTTCTCTATATGTTGAATTGTATTCTTGTCCTGAATATAGATAAATAACACACTTCACATAAGTATTCCATGCGTGTTTCCTTTACTTATATCATGATTTTTTTTTTTATAACGGCTTGTGCAAAGCTCAGGTTAAACAAAGTATGTCTGATTCTGATTCTGGTAACTACGCCTCGGACATAAAAGGGATTTGAACCAAAACCCACATTCTCACTGACAAAGAACTTTGTTACAATGCCGTCACAGAAACAGGCAATCTGTAAGCAGCTTCTTATTTATGCTTGTTGCCATTTTTGTGTTGGCACTTCTTTCTCTCCAGTACCGTAAGATGACACCCTTTCTTAAACAGTCCTCACCTTACCTCATTTAAACATCTGTCCATGAACACAACACCAGAGCTGTTTGTTTCTGTCCTTAAATACCATGCATATGTGGTCAGCGATCAGATCCGGGCGGCTCAAAATCATGATTTTACTAATTGACATAATCCCTCATTCATCCACTGTAGTGCGCTCCTTGTTCACTGCTGTGAACAATTGCACTACACTTTGCACCTCAGCAACTGACTATTGTGGTGTAGCATGTTTACAAGAAAACAGTCACACACTCACTGACCTGCATCAGCATAAAGTCTTTGCCACAAGGAATCTGGCGCCTTAGTTGCTGTATTAATATATTACAGCACTGTGTTGTCCCGTTTTAGCTCATTCACACTCGTGTGAAGTCATTTAGTGTCAGCTCAATATGACGTTTACTACTGAACTGACCACTGGTTAAGTAATAATAATAGGTTAGAAAAGTAAACTAAACTGAACCTGAAGCTCATTTCACTCCCTTCGGTTACCATAGCAACTTGTCAAAAGCTTAAGGGATTTGAGAAAATCTGTGCCTGTTTTGTCCCGTTGAAGCTTTGTTTTAACTCTGAGATGTACTCTTTTGTCCCTTTTCAGGCCAGTGGATCAATCATAGGAGTTTTCACAGGTCATGCTATGAAAATCTTCCCCCTTTACTGATGGCTTTACCACGTTTACTATTAAAAGAACAGATAACGATCAGGGACCTATAGGGATGTAAGACTGACTGTAAACACACATTCACATGCTCGTATCCTTGTGACTTGGCATATTTTTAGATAGAATGTATATATTTAGCAAGTGTCATTAAAAGCTTATTCTTCTTATTTACCAGGTATTTCTACTTTTTGAATACTGATACAAAACCTGTAGTTGGATCAGACCTCCCTGATCTATGTTTGATATGTTTTAACAAGTTTGAGATGTCGCACACGGTTCTTTTCATTTTTTTTTTTTTTTTTTGGAATATTTCTCAGCAGCCAACTTTAAAGAATCAGTTATTTGGGTGTTTCTTAAACTTCCCCTCACACAACACCTGGCAGATGCTTTGTGAGCAATCACATTTCAGTTAGCTTATCAAACCATTACAGTAATGACAGGCTGCCTGCTGTGGTTGCAAAATGCAAGTCTAGATTCTGCTTCTTGTTGTAGGTATTTGTCAGTTTGTGGTCTAACGAACTTCACACACTGGAGAGCCAAGCTAATAACGGACCATTTCTCAAAAAAAAAAAAAAAGAAGTTAAACTGCCTGCCTCTAATATTAATATTTGTGTGCCATGGTGTGTATAACTGTCTTGTAATGATCAGTGAACTGGGGTCGAGCCAGCCTGTAGTGGTGTGCTTTGGAGCAGATAAGAACAGTCTCTCTGAGGTAGGGCAGAGTGCCAGGAGGAGCTGCCCTGCCTGTAATTTATGCTTCCTTCCCCAACCGTCCTCCAACCCCAACATGCAGAGCCGCACACCGCGACCCATGCTCTGCCCGGGGGACGCAGGGGGAATATAAAGGCTGTGGTGACACAGAGGTGACACAGGGTGAAGAGACTCTTGCACTGTAAACCATCCAGTGTTGTTGAATCTTTCCTCACTTTGTCCTTTTAAACAGCGAGAGTGAACGTCAGAAACTGCTCAAGCGGCACTTAGTAGACTGATACATAATGACTATGTTTTTATAGTGTGGGACAGAATGTATATTTTCTTTCATGATTAATCTAACGCTACTGCATCGATTAAGTGATTTAATTAATTGATCAAGCATTTACAGAAAGGATTGTGCCAGAATGTCTTCATATTGCGTCTTCTGTCTGACCAACAGTCCACAATCAGACATTAATTGACTAAAAGTCGCAGTTACCTGATTCAGGCTGCTCGTTCACTGAGCAATATCCCTGTGCGTCCCTGTTTCTCCCCTCTGTGCTGCTTTTTGGGGTAGTAATCGAGGCCTTAACAGGGGCATGACGGGATCAGCTGAGCCAGTGGAGGTGAGCAGCGCTGTGTGTGCATGTCAGTCAGTGTGTATGTGGAGTTCCCGCTGTTCCTCTACATGTTGTGCGTAGTACATAAGGCACTGTGAATTTACTGGCTGGGACCACCAGTATTATGCTGTTGATGAATTACTATGACTGTACGGAGACGTAACAACCCATTACAGTTGTTCATGATGAGCTCTGATGTTTAGAAAACAGTTGTCACTCTACCACACATTATGCTTTACATGTTGTGTCTCTCTCAGCTGTAGTGAAGACGTGGTGGCCATCTTTTGTTCTTTCAGTGTCAGAGGGTTGATATCCTATGACCTCTCACTGAGCAGTCTTAGTTCTCCAACCACTTCTCTTTTTAGACTTATTTGACTTTTTGAATCTTGCTTTCAAAACTAAGAATTGATTGATTAGCAAGTACGGTAAACCAAAAGTTGGCAACTGTAATGGTGAATTGTTGGTTAAAGGTAGACGTTTCCAGATCATAAATAGCCTTTATTTTAACTACATTTTGTAGATTTGCTGCTTTTCATTGCCATTTTGACTCTTAACGGCAATGTGTCTTTGTTGCTTCACTTGGCTTACAAATTTGGGCACTTAACAGAGTGTGACTGTTTGCCACGACCTCTTAAAAAGCCAGGTGTGAGACTGTAGATCATATTTGTATTAGCCTGCAAACTGGAAAACAAATTGTGCTCAGATATTGCAGTTATGATTATAGACCTCATATGGGTAACGTAGCATACAAGTTCAACAATTCACTGTTGAGTTAAAATGCTTTCAATGTTATCGTTACGTTATTCTCCGGTCCTTTCCATACAGTGCTCCTTTAAAAGAGCAGGCACAATGTGAGGCCGACAATCCTTGTCTGATAGCAGTTAGCTGTGTGTGTGTGTGTGTGTGTGTGTGTGTGTGTGTGTGTGTTGTCTAGGTTGTCTAGGTTAAGGTACTTCTCTCACCCTGACACAATAAGCTGTAAAAAGCTTTTGGTGTGTGTGTGTGTGTGTGTCTTTTCACAATCTGGCACCTGTCCAACTTTGCCTTGAGGCGGAAGGCAAAGCAGAGCCCTTTGATGGCCATGAACAGAACATACACACTCTCTCTCTCTCTTTCTCTCTCTCTCTCTCCCTCTCTCTTACTCTCTGCAGGTGATTAAGGTGGCTTTTTAAAAGGCCACCTGTTAGAGATTAAAGGGCACCTGGGAGAAGCGGTGAAAGAAGGCAGGAGAAAGCGTGATTGAGGGAAAGTGCCGAACAAGAGGCAAGGAGAAAACACTGTTTATTGGTTTGCAGTTCTGTTGAATTGGAGATTATAATCGTTGACAGCTCAGGTACAACGATCCAGACATGCCCGCTAGTGGTTTAAGTACTTTGAGAGTAGCTGGTTTCTAAACTGTGAATGAGTACAAAATGTCATCTGCACATGGAGGATTCATCTGTTTGCCCCACGTCAGGGACAACCCCAGTTCACCTCACCTTTCCTTATGACTCATTAAACAAAGGTATTCCCCCCCCCCAAGCACCTTCTTCTCCGCTCTCCACTCTCATCATCATACCAGCACTGTAAAAAAAAAACAAAAAAAACAACAACATAATGAGTATCTACTGTAGCCAGAATGGTTGGGAACTTGTCACCAAAGGAATTTGAGCAAATATCATGCAAGTCTGCATCTGCATGACTGGGATGGTGCCGGGGTGAGTCACGGTTCGAGTGAATGGGGAAAGAGAGAGCGCCTGCTTGTTGACATTCCTCCAATCGAAAAAGTTGAACGTGTTTCGTTAATGGTCCGTGAGAGGCCTTACATCTGTGTTGACTTTCTCACAGTTTGCAACTCAATCGATAAATCCTCCAATACACACAAGCACGCGCACAATTAGATGATCTAAACTCGACACACACTCATGTCTCTGAAGTTCAAACTGAAGGTGCCATACTAAAACACACAATTCTATCTCTCTCCCCTCTCTCTCTCTCTCTCCCCCCCCCCCTCCCCCCCTCCCTCTATTTTTCCCACCAGACTGATTGACGCTCTCACGTGCAAACATGCACACACACATTCCAGAGGTTGTCTCAGTGGAATGAGGGACAGGGTAGGCACTAAGGGAAGCATGACTCAGCTGCTCTGTCCCAACCCTGTCTTTTTCTTTCCCACTACCACCCGCCTGTGTGTGTGCATATATTTGTGCACATGCAACTCTCAGAGTAGGAAACAATCTCTTTAATGCGTGTGTGCACATTTATACACCCTTACTTTTTTTTTTTTTTTTTTTTTTAGTGTGTGCACATTAGCATTTGTACTCCACTGTTGACTGTGAGTGCATGCCAGTGGCCGGCTCTATGTGAATCCGGTTTTCCCCCCTCAAACAAACCAACAAACCACTCCAGGTTTAAAAATGGACCTCTTGGAATTATCAGCCCTACTTGTTTTGGCACGATGACTTTGCTGTAGGTGTTTTTTTTTTTCTTCTTCTTCTTCTTCTTCTTCTTCTTTTGCAACAGTCAGAACTGGTTTGGTCTGATCTTAAATGGCTTTCAAAACTTCAGCGTAGAGCTTCACCCCGAGAGACCTGCATGAGTGGTGTGATACTCTTTCAAAGTCAGAACTTTTAACGCAGAGATTTTGGATACCAGTTGTGATTAATCACAACAACAAAAAAAACTCTATCTTAATTTCACTTCAGGACTGGAGTGTGTCACAGAAAGTTTGCTACCGCAGTACAATTGTGAAAAAATACCCCTGTGTGACTAATTTCCCATTTTTCAGTCCATAGGAAAGTGTGGGTGTTGAGCTATGCAAAGCTTCCTGCAAGTGGGAAAACACAGGGAGCACATGGTGGCCGGCCAGTCTGCTGACTTCAGTTAAGAGGGCAGCACTTAAACTGTGTTTAGGCCTGGAAACAGAGCAAACACAAGCACACCTCTGTGACATTATCCTGCCTAACATTGACATCTACTGGTGACTGATCATCTTCAAATAGTTTATTAACTAAACACTTTGAACTTCTTTTACCCTAAAACATTTCATATTGTTAGTTCGGAAGGAAAACATTTAGAAAAAAATCACCTCACGGCGTCTTTAGGGCTAGCAGAAAGCCTTTTTTTCCAGCAACATCTCCTTGTTTCCTTTCTGATGAACTTCAGCAGAAAAGGTCCGGTTCCCAAACACTTTTTCTTTCACACGCCTCTCACTCCTACTTTCCTACACACAAGCGAAAAAAGAAAAAAAAAGACATGCACACACATAAGGGATAAAAAGGCTTTTTCTGTGCTGTGCGGCAGCCGGCAGCCTTGTGCCGATGATGACTACTGGAATTTGTGCGGGTGCCAGCGCAGGCATGGCCGCCCACAGGAACCACCAGCAGGCCTGCTGCTGCTCTCCTCCCTCCTTTCATCCTCCTCCCCTCATCAGCTACCAACACAGCTCCACAATCCTGACATGAGATGGAGCTGCAAGTGTGTGGCTTCTCCACTCACATCAGAGTCACACATTCCTCTTTGCCTCGAGCAAAATGTTTCTATACGATGCTGTTCACCTGCAGTGTGGCATGTGAGCATCAGGGTTCCGATATGAACAATATTAATTAGAAAATAATGAATACGTTTTCACTGTCTTGTACATCGTCCTGGTTTTGTGAACATAAATGTTCATGCAGTACAGTTAAACTTGTGTATTTTCTTCTTCCCCAGACCGCTTTTTCGAGGAAACTCTGATGTTGATCAGCTGGGAAAGATATTTGAGTAAGTATTATTGGCCAGCTTGAAATTGTTGCAAAAAAATGGATGAAAATCATCTCCTGACATCAGTGCATAACACACACTGTATTTGCCAAAGGGCTGATGTCTGACAACGCGCCTGATGTTGGCCTATATCGATTTAACATCAGTGCATCCCTAATATTTTTTCATAGAAAAGCATCTGCAAATTAGAGAAGTGTTTTACACTGAATCAGAGCTGGACCATAATCGATTTTCATCAAATCAGTGGAAAGTCTGTCCAAGTACATTTTGGGATTTAAAACACTTCGACTCTCTGTTTCTGCAGCTAAGCTAGTTTTAGCAAAGACTTTAAACAGAGAAGCAGGGAACACTTGCCATTGCTGCTGGTGAAAGCACTAAGGTTTGTTATCCACCCGCAGTGTCGTCGGGGTACCTTCAGCAGAAGACTGGCCCCAGGAAGTGGCCCTACCACAGAGTGCCTTCACCCCCCGGCCCCCTAAGCCAATAGAGGACTTGGTGCCAGACATGGATGAACAGGGACGCGCCCTCCTAATGGTGGGTTTTTTTTGAGCCTCTACAAATGAATTTTTCTGTGCATTCTTTTTAATCACAACACTGCATTTACATCTTCTGTATTTAATACTTTTATGTCTTCTTTTCCTTTTCTCTTCTCTGTAGCAATTCCTCGCCTTTAACCCTTCCAGGAGGATATCGGCCTTCGCAGCACTGAGCCACCCCTATTTTCAAAGCGTGGACAGCCTCAGTAGAAGTGTGTACGCGGCCCAGCCCATCCCCAGCAACAAGCCCACCATGGAGGAGAGGAGCGCCTGATAGTCCTCCTTCACCCTTAGTCATCCCATGCAGTGTCTATAAGAAGCATTCACAGCCCCCTTCCCCCCCACCCCCACCTTGGTGTTTTTCATGTTTCATTGTTTTCACAGTGTTTAATCAAAGCTTGTTCGACACTGATCCACACGTGACTCTTGATCGTCAAAGTGAAAATGAAAGTTTACAAATGAATAGATAACAAAGTGCTACAAGCAGCAGCTTTGCACATATGATAGTCCAGCTTTCCTTCATTCTTCTCTGCACATATGCTGCTACAAAGACTCCAACTGCTCCAATTTGCTACAACATGATGATAACACCAAGACAAGGCTTCGAGTCAGCTTTATGTTGTTGCTCAGGAAGCTTAGTTTTGCCATGATAGCCCTCTTTTAACCCTACTTGTTTTTGTTTTGAAACAACCAAAATGTCATCATAAATTTGACCAGTTTCTTTCCCTCCAGCAGTTAGCCTGAAGCTAGATTTGTGACCTGAGAAGCTCATAGTCAAGAATATATTCCAATTTCCAAAGTGCAATGTGTTGATCCCTGCCGTTAAAGGTGCACATAGCTGAAAATCCCTATTTTTTTTCCCCCATTGGTGGTAGCTGGTGTACATATTTTTAAGCTTTAAGCTTTAAGCTTGGTTGGTTGAACTATGGAGAAGTACATTAAAGTTTGAAGGGGTTATATTGAAGCTGTTAAGTAGATCCATTTGTATTGATTGCTTTTCCTTTGACTTTAGAAGACATTTGTTTTGTGTAATCAGTGTCAAAAAAAAGAAGCTTTGTGATTCTGTGTTTGTACAAACCATGGAATGCACCAAGGGGGGGCAAAGACTTTTTAAAGTCAGTGAACAAAACTCATGGAACGAAAAAAAGGCGGTCAAGATAATGTCAAAAACAATGACACCAAACTCTCACGCCCCCCCCCCACCCTCGAAAATGCACAAAAGCTATCCTCCCATGAACTGATAAGAGTGTATTTGCTGCTTTTAGGTTGTTAAATGTTGATTAATGACTGTAAACAATGCAAAGAAACATTGACTGCTAGAAGCAGGCAGGAGGCCTTCTTCGCTGGGGGTGGGGGATCTGACCATACAGGAGCCTGTGTGAACTCAATGGACCTCGCCTGCCTCGGTTGCTAACTGTGTGTGTTCGTGTGCAGTGAGAAGACACACCAAACCAGCACAGATGTGTACACGGCATTTAGCGTGTGCACCACCACTGTCATAAGCACGCTCATGTATACACCTACTTACTGAAACATTATTGGGCATCACAAGCCAGCCACTCACTGCCAAGTCATGACTTATCATTCCAGTTCTACATGTATTTTATTACTGCCACCTTGAGGATGTCCTGAGTAACTGCAGACCAGTAGCGGGATTCTAATGGTTTCTGCACTCTTCAAGGAACTTCTTTTTTTTTTTTTTTTATAATGGGCTGATATCAGTGCTGAGACATTGATGAAATAACTTTTTATAGAGACGTTCCTGATACTTGCTCTGCCTTTTTATTTTACTTGCTTTTAGTCAGCCATCATTTAAAATACAATTATTATTTACTATCCTAATGATACGGTAATGCACAGGTTTGCAACAGGTGGATAAAGTCCCACCAGCACTATTCCACATGAATACATTTGGCACAGGATAGTGTCGCCAATATTGGGTATTTAATTTTAATTTTATTGACAGGTCTTGTATGCTTGTCGTAATCAAGTTGTTACTTGATTGTTTTTTTTTTCTTTGTTTTTGAAGATGCTGGGGAAAATATTACACCAACACCGACTCTAGATGATGATAGAATATTTGAAAAGTAGTTTGACAAAGTGAGGAATGTATAAAGGATAGGCATTGGTACTGTACTGTATAGAATGCAAAGTAAACGATGTAACGATAGAGAATTGTTGATTCCTGCATCGTCAGCCCATAGATATGTCGTCAAAATGGATAGATGTAGAGTAGTGAAGGTCAGTGGAACGTCGTATGGCAAAAGGTGTTTTGTCTTTTGGAAACTTTGGGTGAGCTCTGTGAGTGCTTGTCGAATTTTAATTTGCTTCGGATTGAGAGTGACTACGAATTTTTACAGTAATGCACAATTTTTTTTGTGTACAATTTTGATGCTTTATTTTACAATCATGTCTCGTCGTATTTAGTTATAACCAGCACAGAAAGAGCAAGTTATGCAGAGTTGTATTTTTGTATCTAGTAGTCTTGCAGAACAGTAACATATCTTAACACTGGTTTATGTTTTCTTAACAGGTAGTGCTGCTAGCACAAACACAAAGACACACACTCTGACTTTCTCAGGTTCTTTTACGGACGTCCGAAACTTTCGGGCACAGTTTGCACATCTCTTGGCTACTAACTGACCACATCACTACTCTTTCAGGTTTTCTTTTCAAACTGTTCCACCCATGGTCATATCATTGATCACTGTCTACTGTCATCCCTATTTATCAACAATATGTTACTGTAGTCATTACTGTCTAAAGATAACTGCCTGTATGAACTATTTTTGTCAGCTACTTTTGATTGCAAGATGTCAAACACAATGTAGATCATATATAATTGTCTGCTTGACTAAGCACTGTGTGAATTTTCTATTTGATGACTCATATCTGGTATCAGTGGTGCATACAATGCAATGAAAGCTCCAAATACTTTAGGCCTAGAGGTTTACAATTTAAATAATGACTGCTTTAATCCCATCACACTTGATAAAAACCACTGTACGCATTTTTCATGAGCTAACCAGGTTTTTAGTACATTTCAATCTTGAAACATAAAACTGAAGTCAGATGTTAAACTTTAAGAAGCTTCACTGTTTTCAAACCAATGTTGCGTAATTCATCATATAAATCAAATAACACACATGTTCCTGTGTCACATTTGTTATTTGGCATGTGGAAATGAACGCTAGAATAAACACAATCATGGCATACGTATGTATGGTTGCTGGCATTGGTGTCCTATTATTGTGTTACACCAATTAAATAAAAAGCAGCTTTTTGAGAATATTGTTTTGGACTTATTTCTACCAATTAATGAATTATTCTTGTGTGGAGTTGGTCGTTAATGTAGTGAGGGAATATTAGATACAACACAGTTGCTGTTACAGTGTGTTGTATTTGAATTTTGCCACCATCTACTATCAACAGTTTGCGTCTATTTCATACCAGCAACAAAATATTTTTTAAATAAATATTTTTGTATCACTAAATGTGTGTTGTTAGTCTGATTCTCTATAAGTGCTTGTATCAACACTAAACCCATATACAAGAAGAATTTGTACTGTAGAGGTTGGAGGCATAAACACAGATATGCCACAAGCTAACCAAATATTTTGGGAGAATCAGAGAAGAGATAGAATTCAAATCTTGGGACAGTGTGTAATGTTATCATGAATACCAGCATATATGCTAAAGATCTAAATATAATCAATGTGCTGCGAGTAATTTAATATAATGATTAACTCGAGTGAGAGAAGAATATTTTAAAAAATTGGAAGAAAGTGGAAGAAGCAGCAGGAAGAGGAGAAAATGGCGTGAACTACAGACAGAAGCAAGAAAAGTACCCCATCCCCTCCCCTAAAAAAAAAATAAGTTTTAGGTTTGGTTCTATTGCACTGGAAATATAAGAGAAGTGTCTCGATTCAAAGCCTCAGACATACCAAACTAAACTTTGACTTATATCATAATTACAATAAGCATAATTGACAATTACAGATAATTGGTTCGTTTTCTCTATTTTATTTTTTGATCGTTTTTTATAGACTTGTCTGATTCACACTCCATACCACTTGGAGGCGCAGCTGCAGTATTTCGTTGTTTTCCAACAGCCGGAAAAACAACAGTAGAAGAAGAATCGTCAGGTTGCGTTTACAGTCCAGTGTGGCTATGTTAACGCTGGCAAAATAACACTAATGATTGCTTACAGAGTTGCATATTTTCCATTATTAATAACTCGGCATGGGCAAGAGAGACAATCGAGTGGTAAGCACATGAAAAAGTGGAAAAGTTATTGATAATTGGCATGCTACTAGCCCAAATACAAGCTTAGCCTACGAACAAGCTAGGTAATGCATTTCTCCGCCTACTGTACTTATTCTGGGCCCTGGCGGGTTTCTCTCACGTCGTACGTGTGCATATCACCTGTCAGAGAAAAACACTTTTGAAATATATTGGCAGTCTCGAGGCTTTAATTGTCTGGTGTATCTTATTGCACCTAACGCAATGTAGACTAATGCGGCTGCGCAAAGGTGTAAATGCTAACTTTAGCAGCTTAGCTTCAACCAGACTCTGCAATGATTTGACGCTGCGCACTGTTGTTTTCTGTTTAGTCTTTTAAATATAAGCAGGGACTTTAACCCTATGCATAATCAATTAATTCATATAGTTTCTTATCTAATGTCAAGGGAACAATTTCTATCTGATGCACTGAGTATTTTGTTAATTTGTCTTGTCATGTATGGAGGTTACATATTGACTGACTGATCAAGCAAGGTTGTACTGACCATGTACACTGATAACATACAATGTTTATTTCATTTTCAAACTGTTCCATTAACTCTTAGGGTTGTTTTGGGGGATTTGTGTAGTGCTTCTAGGTGGAGTTCAGGTTACTAATCATCCCAGTGTCCTATAGTTTGGTTTCTGTGTGTGTTTTGAATGCTTCCCTCTGTTTGGTTTTCCAGGCTTATATTAACCCCATTGCTGCAGCACGAGCCAGAGGACCGTCACAGAATGCCGGACCATCAATACAGGATTACTTAAGCAGACCTCGACCCACATGGTGAGAAAGTCCACGAGCTCCTCGGTGACCCTCGTCGACTTAGAGGCAGCATTCACACTAAACTCTAATGCTCAATTCAGATTTTTTAAAAGTGTTTGTTTTATTGACCTTTTTGTCTTTTATTAGACAGGACAGCTGAAGAGAGACAGGAAATGTTGTGAGGAGAGAGTGACTATAGCCTCTGTACATGGGGTGAAGGACATAACTACTGGGCTATCTGCGCCAACTGTACATCATTTTTGTCAATTAATTTTGCCCAGGTGCTTTGAAAAACACTTAAGATTGGAAGGGGAAACCCAGATTTGATTTTTAAAATATATTTTTTTGTGGGTGTGAATTCCACAATATTCCTGGTTCTACAGTTGACTCAATGTCGTATTCCGTGTTTCATACCCCCTGCCGTCCTTTACAGTTATTGACACTGTGGTTAACTTTTGGTTTTCGGAACATCAAGGTTTTTTTTAATACCCTGAGTTTCTTCCTGTCTACTCCCTCTAACAGAGCCAGTAACGGTTTAATTTCCTAATTCATTCAATCAGTCAGTATCACACGAGTGTCATTGGAGATTCACTGTTTGTCTGAGTAAAAATCCAGGTTGTTTTATATAGTCTGTGAGGCATACTTTAAAAAGACATACTTTTTTGTCGAACATGGCATGTCCTTTAGTCGAGGAGCCTCTAGATGAGGGGCTGCATTACTCCGCAGGGAGTTACAAATACATCTGGAGATGTTAACTTAATTAGGTCTGATTAATGAACTAGGCAGAATATAGACGAGAGGACATTTATGTGTGTGAAACCAGCATTATGTGGGGGATAAAGCTCATGCACATTGAAATTGCCACTGAATAATATTTACGTTGTAGCCTATAATATGTCAGATATAATTGTGAAGTGTATTATTGAAGCTTTACAGTTATCATCCTACAACAGAGACTAAACAAAGCACTACAGCTTTCTTTTTATAGCCTATGACATGCAAGATATAAAATTCAGCATAATTAATGCTTTCTATTACACTTCCATATTCATTTCTATGAGCTCCATTATACTGCCAGGCTGCAGCTGAAATATGATGTCTTTAACATTCAGACAGGCCACATATGATCGTGCGTTCAGTCTGATTATGGATTATGTGATTAACTTCTACATAGTTTACATTTCCGACTTTGCTCACAGTTTATGAATCATATGTTGAACCAAGTTTGGTATATGAATGTTTCCACTTAGCATTAAACTTCTTGACACTGATTGGATATGGGTATCCTACATAGTGGTTTTGAGAGGCTCTGGATTTTTTTTCAATGTAATTTCACTCTCATCAGCAAAGGAATGTGAATATTTAAATTCTGAATATGCGTGAAGATTGGTCATCTCATGAATTCAAAAATGATCTGTTAGCAAGAAAATGCTGTTTCCTTACATCATTTTTACGTTCTACAAGCAACAAGTTTCCAGCTGTCTTGCAGAAAAAATAATTGATCCTGATTTATTTGAAATTCATCATTTTCCAACCTGAAAAATTACTCACAAAACTTAAATGATCCATGATCCAAAGTATTTCTCACACCTGGCAGTTATATTACCAAGCAAGTTGAGTATCCCCAGAGAATATTTCTGTTATCTGGCTAGACCCACTGATCCAAGTATTTACGCTTACCTCTTGTTGATAAAATCACTTTTTTACGTTCTGGGTGAAATATCTGCTGACAAACTTCACATTCTGATTTGTATTTCCACTGATTTATTGTCTCTTCCTCAGGGAGGAGTTAAAGGAGCAGCTGGAGAAGAAGAAGAAGGGCTCTCGAGCCCTGGCTGACTTTGAGGACAAAATGAACGATGTAAGTTTTTGTGTTTGCTAGTGTCCTTGTCCTTTCTGGTAGCATGATGTTGTTACCTGCCTCCATTCAGATAACACAGGTAGTCCCAGCTCCTTCAGAATAGCACATCCATTCGTCAAGCAGTTGCAAAAAGGTTTGCCGTTTCTTCCGGCATAGTCTCAAGAGAATGAAGAGGAGAACAGGATTCACCAGTAGACTGGCAGTTACATTAGAGTTGTACAGGTTCGTAAAAGGGCATCAACCCAGCAGCATGACCGGTATCTGCTCCTTTGTGCGAGGAGGAAAATGAGAAGCACCGCCAGAGCCCTACAAAATGACCTCCAGCAGCAACTGCCGTGCATGTCTCTGACAACTGTCAGAAACAGACTCCATGAGGGATGAATGAGGACCCAACGTCCTCTAGTGGGACCTGTGCACACAGCCCAGCATCATGCTGCTCCATTACATTCCTCAGAAAACACCAGAATTGGCGGTCTTCCATTGCGCCGCATTCTCTTCACAGCTGAGAGCAGGTTCACACTGAACAGATGTAAAAGGCACGAAATGGTCTGAAGACGCCGCGGGGATCGTTATGCTGTCCGTAACATCATCCTGCATGACCGTACGGCCGTGGGTCTGGAGAAGCATATCCTTGCAGGGTCGCACAGACCTCATCATAGCCAACAGTAACCTGTCTGCTGTTGGGTAGCGGAACAAAAATACTCTCTGATTGTTAGACTTTACACTGGTGCAGGGGGAGTAGGATTCCTCCTGGTGAAGAACAATGTCAAGCCTCATGTGGCAAGAGAGTGTAGGCAATTAATGGCTGAAGATGGCATTGACAGTCCCTCTCGTTCCCCTCACCTTATTCCATTTGAGCACCAATGGGAAGTTATGCATCAGTGCATCTAATGCGTCCAAGAACTGCTGCACACACTCCAGGAGCTCACTGATGCCCTGATCCAGGTCTGGGAGGAGATCCCTTAGGGTACCATCCACCAACTCATCAGAAGCATGCCCAGACATTGTGAGCTGCGCATACAGGCACACAAGGGCCATAAACACCACAGAGTCACAGTATGAGTCACTGTGATACAGTTCACACAAGTTAAATCAGCCAGTGATTTTAATTTTTGAATACGATTTTTGGTGTGATTTTTAATTCAGCTCTTTGTGGGTCAATGAGTTTGGCTTCCTCTGTATTTCATTCTCAACAAATTATACAATGCACGTTAGTTAATCTGATGTATGAGTAAAGTGTTCCCTTAATTTTTTAAGCAGTTTATTTTAACTGGCTGTCATGTTAACCCTCATCATATCTCTGTATTTAAAGTGCAATTGAAAATGTAGAAAAGGAGATTTTTTTTTGTTGCATTGTTGTTTACTGTGGTTGTTTTTTCAGAAA